ATAATTGCTGGTTTATATACCATGTTTCAAATACATGGCTGTATTTGAAAATAAGTATTGTAAAAGTCTATTAAAGCATTCCATAAAGCTGGTGGTCTGTACAAGTACTATTAAAGGAAAATGGAAAAGATCCCCAAACACTTCCCAAATCAGTGTTATTACAGTTGTAGCTCAGTCTCAAGCAACCACAGGAGTCAAGGCATCCAACTGCTAATGATGTGTATGCTGCAGAAACAAATATTCCACATATCCTTTGAAAACAATGGGTTGAGTGAAAGTATCTTGAAAGCCAACTCTGCCATATGTGTTTGTACTTGATGTTCAGCTTCCTTGCAGTTATGGCTAAATGTTACTTCCTTTGCAGATTAATCTGTGATGAGATCAGAATCATTTAACCATATTATTCTTGTTCACTTTCTCCTATCACTTAAAAGATTTATTCTATGGCTGGTGATCGAGCATAACTACGTAGCACTTTTGTAAGATCAGGTGCATCAGAAAGAAGCCATTATTCCATAGAGATAAGCAAAATGATACAGTTGCTGCTGCCCTAGCAGACATGGTATGTAGTGCTGTCACCCAAACTTGATTCAGCTGAGTATTTCTGCTACATTTTTTGGTTTACCTTTTATTGGTGGTTCATGTATCTCTAGTGATTTGGGACTGCATTCCTATTTCTCACTAGAATTCCTCACTCGCTTTGGTTGTTTTGTTCTAGCTGATACTGTCAGATTTCCAGGGTGCTGTGTATCCTTGTACATGTGTTTTCTAACAACAGGTGCATTGGACAGAAGGCCACAGTTTCACAGCTCACAGGCACGTCCAAAATAATAGAGAAGATTGTGAACTGTGAAGGGGCATATAGTGGTGGCAGCATATGGTCATGATTCAGTCATCTGAGGATTCTCTTAAATAGTCTCCTTTAATGAACCAGTTTTTGTTTTATATTCCTTTCACTTGGATGAATTCCTGCTTTCTCTTCTCTTGCACATGTATTTGAGTTGGTGCAGCAGCACCACAATGACCGTGCCAGCCATTGTGTGTGGACGGGTTTTCTCAAAACTGAGAGCTGGCCATGCCAGATGATGAAATTGGGTACTTTCCTAGTGCAGGCATATCTCCTGACATAGGTATTGTTAGAATATCAGTTTTGTAATGGATACTTATTTCATTCATGAAATAATTATTTGAACAGAGAAAGCATGTGTACTTGATTAGAGACAGCCTATTTTCTCAGCCCAAATAATAGAAATTGCTATTTCTACTATAGTAGCACAATAGTAGAAATGGAACGAAAGCATGTGGTAGTTGAGGCACTGATTTGGCACAGAAGAATATGGCAAAGCAGTTTTTCCAATCTTAGTCTCATAGCCTTGGTGATCCCTCGAAAAAATCAGTTATCCACTCATCTGAGGCAGAAATCTGCCTTTTATCAGAAAAGCAAGGCCTTTTTCTGGTTGAGTTCAGAACAAGAAAATACTGCAGAACCATAAACATTCTTAGTAGGTTTAGCATTATTCTGTCAGGTTAGTATTATTCCTACCTGTAATCTCTAGTGGAGAGTAGTGGAATTGACCTGCTTTCAGTTTGCTTTACTCATCTTACAGCAGAACATTTGCATAGACAATTTGTCTGAGAGTTTCTGTCAACTTGTGTTCAAGAAGTCACATCCCTAGATAAACAATGAACATGTATTTTTGGATTGTGCAATGTCCTCTGTCTATTAAAAGATGTACCTGCAATATATCTAGATTATCTTTCAGGACATTTGAAAAAAAATAGGATACCCTTTATATGATTTTCTTGTCAAAGCTATGATATGCAGCGGAGTAGCAGATCACTCAGAAAACACAGTTCAGAATTTTGTTCTGCTGGTCTTTTCTGATCAAGAGACACCATATCCCCTCTCAAATTCTATTATGGTGCCATGGAAAGGAGCTGGGTGAAGGATTTACTTCATTAAAATGCAATGCAATGCAGTTACTCTCAAGGCTGATGATTACAGTTGTAAATAGAGTTTTATTTTGAAGGATGCTGGTTGATTTTTGCTCCATTCAGATGGGAATTTTTGTTCTTGGCAGCGGAAGGCGGAGAAGGAGGCAAATATGTATTGAACACGAAAATGGAAGAGAGTCAAAGACTGAAATGGAGAGGCGAGGATGCACATAACAGTTTTTGACTAGGGCAGATAAGCTGTGTTACAACTTAGCCATATTGTTAAGAAATCATGGTTTCCTCATCACTTTCTTCCTGGAAGATTGTCAACTGATGTTATATAAATGCTTTGTCACTACAGTTTGAGTAAAAGCCAGGGCAAGCCGTTACCCTGTCTTTGTATGTGGCAAATGTGGGTTGTTTTGAGCACACAAAGCCAAAAAGATCTCTGGTCTTTAAAGGACTCCTGTCTTACTTTCATTGATCTGTCCTTCAAATCTCACCTCCTGTGCCCGATGCCCTGGTGATTGACAAGGCTGATTTTTCTGGTGATACATTCCGCTCCCATTTTAAAATTTATTCTGTAGCTCCACCTCCTGGCTCTTGGTCTGTGAAAAGGAGGATCCTTGGGAATCACAGTGCCTCAAGAAGGGATCAGAAGTATTCATCCTAGTTTACAAATATTAATATAGAGGTATATCTGGGGACATTTTAGCTGAGGCAAAACAGACTGCTGAGCCCACTCATACTGGCTTTCAACAGAGGCAAATATTTTGGTGAAGGGTGGACAATGGAATATGTGGCTCATAGTTTCTGCTTTTTTTGGGCTTTCAGTTTCTCAATTGTGGCAGTTTTGAGACATGACAGACATCACAAAGCAGTCTCTCTTTATTACTGTTTCCCCCCTGATACTTCCTCAAACTCATGGGGGTGGGGAGGTACAGCAGAAATCGTCTGACACTGAAACATTAAAAAAAGATCTCTGAGGCCTTGCAAAGGAGTCTTGTTTCACACAGGGAGAATTACTTTGACTTTGTGTTCATCCTATTAAACCAGGAAGTGCCCAAGAAGTAGAGGTATAGATCCTAGTCATCTGGATTTAAGAAGAACAATGTCTCTTCCCCGACAGCTGCGAGAAAAGAGGTAATGTGTTATATAGCCTGCTCCTGCCTCCCCACAAGCCTCATGTAACTCCTGATCTGTTTGCTTAATTTGGATGCAAGCATCTTTGGTGATTCTAAAAGGCTTCTTGTTATCAGAACAGTGTGTAACTTCCGCACTATTAGGCTGCTTAGGGTCAAGCAGACCATTTCTTTTGCTGGCGTGGACTTTCTTCTTTTTGTGGGAAATATTCACAACCTAGGACATAGTGGGTCATTGTCCTCTTTATAGCTGCAAAATAAGTTTCCCTTTTACTGGAGTTTATGATGAGTGTTTGTGATATGACTAATTATATCTCTTGCTCTCCATAACCACATCCTTCTTCACAGTAAGGGGTAGTATTTACAGTATTGTGGGTGGTGCTGATTCATGGCATTTTCCTTGTAGAGCAAACTATTGCAAGATGTTGCATCATTGCTTCAGCATTTCAAATGGGCTACGCCTTGTGGAAGCCCCTGGTTGGGATATTCTCCTACCAGAATAAACTGACAGCTACTACTTTTTTTTTTTTTTTTTTTTGTATTATCAGAATATTTAACATTTTGTCATCTTGGGATTTCTTAGATGATCCTTTTAGAAGTCTCTCTTTATCTCATTTGTTATTCTGTTCTCCTCATTCTAGATGCTTTTTACTCAGCTGTTAATATAAATACCCCTCTGACAACACTGAGTTATAAGACTGAAGCAAAGGTGAATTTGTCTGTGCTTGTCAAAGCTGTTGCACTAAGGAGGTCATAGAGGAAAAGGCATCTGCTGATCCATGCTTTTCTTGTAGTGTGGGCAGTATAGACCAGTAACATGACTGTGTGGTCATATGGCTGCTCATTAGTAATCCCTGTTCCTGCAGAGATTCTTCCTTCTCACTTCAAATCCAATTCCTTCTAGGATCTGCAAAGCTTATTCTAACCTTGCCTATCAACATGAGTTCCTTCACACACTTTTGACATTTTCAAACAAGTATCTTTGTGCTTGCTTCAGGTTATCTGCTGAGACTGGGGGATAAATGCCAATGTCGGATGTCCTATCCCTGTGCAGGCCATTCATTAAGAGTTGTACTTGGTGATCTTTGAAAGTTGGTCCCTTCCAACTCCAAATATTCTGTGATGAACCTTACCTGCTGTGACTGGGAGGTCTCTCTCCAAATATTTGATAGCCTAGCCTTATTTTTCCAAGCCTCTTTAACACCTTGCTTTATTGTGATGTCGTCAAGAAAATTTGACAACGTTTTGACAGCTGGTGTAGGCACCAATAGTTTTGATATAGAACAATACTATGCTTTTGTTTCTTTGTTCTTTTTCTGTTTGTGCTTATCCTGTTGTTTCTTTTCTTATATGTGTGTGGTATATTTTATGCATCTTGCACAGAGTATAAAGTTTTTAGGATTTAGCTTTGTGCTGTCAGTTTCTACAGCACTTTGCATAACAAGCTCTTTTCTCAGAACTGTTTCCTATATTCTACAGTAATGCAGTAATAATAGCAGCATAAATCATGATGTATAATGATCTCCTTAGAATAGGATCCACTGATGCAGAGTTTTTTTCTGTAAATCTCCTAGATTAAGGAAGGAATAAGAATGCATCCACAGTTGATCACATTTCTCAGGAAAAGATTAGCAGTTCAAGTGTTTGTTTTGTAGTCCTGTTCCTTGAGCAAGCCTAGGAATGAGAGGGATATTTTTCAGGCATAATGCATCTTCTCAATGGTCACTGATTTATGCTGAATTTATTGAAATTTGACGTCTCAAGATCAAACCTCCAGAGGAAGAGAATGACACCATGAGTTTCTAACATCTTGGTTTTGATAATAGAAAATGTGATATTGCCTGTCTTTGCTCTGTGTGACATAGGACATCTCAAAGGCTATTACCAATATGAGTAACCTAAATTTCTGTTCTTGCTTCACAGTGATTTTGACCAGCTTCCAGATGATGTACCTGTTTCAGCTAATATCGCAGACATTGAAGAGAAGAAAGGCTTTACTAATTACTATGTAAGAATGGAGATTTATCCTGCCTCTACATGCCTTCACCAGTGACTGGTTTGGTTGTGGGAAGCAAAATGCAGTTAATCTGGTGTAATTGCTTTTTGGTGTGAGTAGTTCCATGTGGAAGACTTCTCAGTGCTTTATTTTTCAGGAATGAAGTACAGTTATCCCAGATTCAGTCTAAAAATTTATTTTCTGAATGAAGTGTAGGAGATATCCTCTAACATCCTAATTTTTCCTAATATCTGATTTGTTTCCCATTGGAGTGCTGTATCATTGGTGAAGATAGTGAGAAAGTAACTCAGAGGGTAGAAAGGGAGAGTCTTGGTTCATTATTCCGTGGTACTGGCAAGTTAGGAGGCTCCCATCTTCACAGGAGGAAGCATATTAAGACACAAAAGAGCACACAGGAAGGGAATAGTAGGGAAAGGCAGTAAGATTTTCTGAAGGTTTGAATATGCCCATCTCAGTCTGTCTTCTGCTGGAGACATTGCTCTTAAAACCCTTCCCACTGCAGAATTCAGGTTTTTCTCTGGAATAGAGGGATATTTGGTTGCTCTGTCTTTATGTTTTCTGAAGCATCTGGCTGCAATGTGACTCAGAGGTCAGTGCGTGGAAGTGTTGGGTTCCTTTAGAGCAAAGCAATTTTGTCAAAAGAGAAATAAAATAGTGGTTGAAGGAGGTCAGACAATAATTTCTGCAACTGTGTACATTAAAGTCAAAAAAGAAGTATGAATGGCTTCAATTCTGAAAATCAATTCATTTAAATGTCAGTCTGTCTTTAGATTTAGATGTCCAAGGCATCTTATTGTAAAATATTTGTGTTTGTCTTTGTAATGCATTTTGCTTGTCACTGAGGCAAAGTGTGCAAGCATAAAGTTGAATCTAGTAATTTCATGTTTCCTTTAAAGATTATGTAATATAAAGTAGCCACAGGGACATGCTTCATATGCAAGCTGGACCCACACAAATACCTTGTTATATCCTAGTTCCTGAATTGGCAGATGCTTAACTGAAGGCTTGCTTTCCTCTCTGCTCCTAAGAGGATATTCCCACTAATGGAGCACAGATCTTATGTTCCTGTTTTATTCCTCACATTCAGTTGGTGAGTATTTTTAAGTATGAACACCAGCCAGAATCCCTCTTCTCTGTTTCAGATGTTTGTCATTGAAGTAAAGCTTAAAGGTGGTGGCAGATACCTGATTTTCCGGCGCTATCGTGAGTTCTATGCCCTGCACACCAAACTAGAGGAGAGATATGGGCCAGAGAGCAGTAACAGCCCATTTACCTGCACACTCCCTGTACTGCCAGGTAAGCTGTCAGTACCAAACCTTTGCACAATTAGCAGCTTTTCAGCTCCAGGCTGCCCTAAGGAGCAATGCAGTGAGAGAAGTAGTTGTGACAAGGAACTAATTCCTGGCTGTGTATGCCAGAGAAATCATGTTCCATTGACAGCCCCTTCACTTGTAGTAAAGTTCATTTAGAAACCTAAAATCCTTTAGAAAAGATGTAAATTTTTTTTCAGCTTCTACTCCCTCCTGACTGCTTCATTTCTCTGATAGCCTCTTTTTTGCTTTTTTTTCTTCAATAACTGTTACAGGTTTTATATTTTCCAGGAAAAGTTTTTGTTGGTGCCAAAAAGGAAATTGCTGAGAACAGGATTCCTATCCTAAATGTCTATATGAAGGTAAAACTTAATTTTAAAGCAAAGAATGCAGCGATCACTGCAGATACTTACACTGAAATCAGCTAAGGCAGACAGTACTTTTTGGGTTCTAAGTATCTGCTTCTCTCTGCTCTGCTTTTCTGAAGACACAGTGCCTACACTGTGATACAACCTGAAGTCCTCTTCCCCAGATTGTTCAGACTGTAGGCTCTGCTGGAGTATGCAGTTCACAAAGGGTCACTCTCTGTCTTCATATACAGATAGACATCTTACCAAAACCCCCCAAAATGTGTGAGGAAATGGTGAATCTCCAGGTGCTGCATGAATACATAATTGGTGTGTGTATCCAAGGGATTAGGAGAATGGTGGGTGGGTTGTGCTTTACCCCACCCACCATCAAGTGCCACGCAGGCTCTTGCTCACTCCCTCCTTCCCTAATGGAATGGGGAGGACAACTGGGAAATGGTAAAACCCACGTGTTGAGATAAGAACAGTTTAATAATTGAAATAAAGTAAAATATAATACTAATAAATAATTGTAATTAGAAGGGAGGTAACAAAAAATACAGAGAAATAAAACTAAAGAAGAAAACAAACAAATGATGCACCTTAAAATTGCTCACCGCCTGCTGACCAATGCCCAGTGCCCACTGAGCAGTGATCTGTGGCTCCTGAGCAGCTCCCTCCAGTTACATACTGGGCATGATGTCCTAAGGCATGGAATATCCCTTTGGCTAGTTTGGACCAGCTCTCCTGGCCATGCTCCCTCCTAGATTCCTGTGCAGCTCCTCACTGGCAGGACTTGGGAACCAGAAAAGCCCTTGGCTTTGGACTAAGTAAGACAGTAGTTAGAAACAACCAAAACATCTGTGTGTTATCCACATTATTCTCATGCTAAATCCAACACAAAACACTGTGCCAGCTACTAAGAAGAAAACTGACTCTCTCACAGCCAGAATCAGGACAGGTGGACTTCTGAGAGTACCTGAATTACAGTGAAGATGCAGCATGCACCAAGGAGAGATACTCTTTTTGTGCAGGTTAACTGAAGACCTGAACTTCAAATCAGTAAAAGTCTGAAGCACTGGCCAAGACTGCCTTCTTTCCACAGTCATTCATGTTCTGAAAAGAAAAACAAAAAGCAATTTACTCCTGCAGTAAATCAGGTACAAAAAGCGTGAAGCAATACATTGGCCAACTCCAGGAGTAAAGAGGAAAGACTGTCAGCTGTTCAGCTGTGTCCTGCTGAGTGAGAAAGGAGAGGAGGGAGATTTCTGGCAGTAATGAATATCCTTCATGATCCTGTAGGTCAGAGAGGCATATTTGTTACATGTAAATAAATAGAGAATTGGTCTCTCCCACTGTTACACTCTGCTTCCTGCTTGCTCTTGGCACAGAACCTGCTCTGCCTCCCTGCTTGGGTGTTGATGGATGAGGACGTTCGGCTGTTCTTCTACCACTCACCCTTTGATGGTGAGCAGGTGCCTCACAGACTGAGACGGCTTCGCCCACGGACACGCCGAGTGTAAGTGATTGACATGTTTTTTGCAGCATTGCTTGATGGAAGAGATGCTGTCCAGTTTTGGGGGGAGAGATAGATGAGAATCACCACTGTGTTTTCCAAGTGAATCCATGAATCCCTAATATGAGGGTCTTTGTGGTGGAGTGAACAGAGTGTATTTCTTGTTTTCAGTAATCTCAGATTTTTTAAGTGGATGTGGTACTTGCATTAAAGGAAAATTCCAAAATGAGAGTATTTGCCTTTTTAAAAATACTGTCCAGCTCTATCTGCCCATATTTCTTTAATGGTAATCTCTATTACAATGTGCAGAATATCCAAGCCAAGCTTAAGGACATAGGCTTGCACCACTGAAGTCAGTGTGAGTTTTGGCAATGAATTCAGTGAGATCTGGTTCAGACACTAAATGAAACTGAATATTTAATTTGTTCCCATCCTTTGTCAAAACAGGGGCCTGTCCTACATAGCAGCATTGACACCCCTTTGGAGAACTGCTAAGTAGATGTCATACTTCATTACCCTTCAGATAAATTAATTCTCCTTTCAGCATTACAAAGATGGGCTTGCTTCCTTTTCACCTACCTCAAACAGTGCAAAAACTTGATATGTGTATGATGGCAGAGTTTGAACTAAATGCCATAAATGCTAGAAACAATAATGCCCAGAAGGCAGAGTAGGGGGACTGAGCAATGCTGTGGAAGAGAGGTCCAGAATACTGACTGTATTGAAAATTCCATCTGTTCTCAGGAGCAGACACCATCAGATTGCTGCTGCTCTGCACTGAATCTGAGAGAACTAGGGCAGTGTCATTGCATCCATATTTATTTACTTCAGCGCTGCACACAGATTCTCATGCAGTTTCTCCAGTGATCTAGGGATTACATGCCCCTTAAATAGTAAAAACACAGACACTGCACTACTAATTGTGTAGCATTCTTAATGACTTAGAAAGATGTTTTCCTCCCTGTTGTCTCATTTCTTTGCAGTAAGAGTGTTTCAGATCAAGTGCCTGTTTTTGACCGCACCGCAGCTCCGCGGGCTGAGGTGAGTACTCTGCACCACCTGTCACAGGACAGGAGATTAAACTCTGGTTTACTGTGGTACCTCATCCATCAGGTTGCCATTTTCATTTAGAGCTTGGGGGAAGAAAGTGAAATAAACAGAGAAAAGCAATTGATTTTAACAACAGAGAATGAAACAAAGGATGGAAAGAGGTGTCCTGTTCCTCATCTCTTGAGTAATAAGAAGGTCTATGGTGAAATCAGAATGACAGGAGATTCAAAACTGAGACATGTACAGCTTACTGCCAAATGGTCCACATTTGCATGGTGCCACCCATAAGTTAAATCTAAAACAGGCATAAGCTTCAGCCTCAGTGTCTTCAGCATATGTTTAGAAGCTTTGCAGGGGAGGCATCTTATTTTTGTATTTTCTATAACATAAATGTATTTTCTGTAACATAAATGCCCATACTCTTGTCTTTATGGTATATTTTCTCAGTATTAAGCACATGAGACTGCTTTGTAACCAGTACTTGTCTGAGCAGGGTTTTGCTTCCTGAAACATGTGATTTGCCATATAAGAATAAAATCCCCAGGCATCTGCTTTGAGTTTTGTTTCTTTTGTTCTTTACACAGAGAGTGACAGGTCTTGGAACAGTAATATCTCTTGGGTTTTATCTATTAATTTATTAGTATTGAATATACCTACCAGAACTTTTCAATAGGTGAAAAAAGGCTTTTGAAAGGGCTAATAAGTAGACACTAGCACAATAGTAGCATTGTTTTGTTTGTTTTTTATTAAGAGAACTCTTGGCATTAACAAGACCAAAAGAAAAATTGCAACACAGAATAAAGAGCACCTTTTCATTTTTGTTCTTCTAAGACCATTTAAATGACCATGTTTCCCTAAGCACAATGGGGGAGATGTGTATTTTTGATAACACAGCCACTTTAACTCTCCAACTTTTTGTTAGGATGATAAGCATGTATTTGCCTCTTTTTTTTTTCCCTGAAGAGGTCATCTAAGTTCCATTTCAACAACACGTCAATTTCCCAAGCTTTCCCACATCTCCCAGTTCAGCATCCAGACCTGGAAGCTAGATGTAAAAGCAACAGTTAGTTACCCTTAAATTAAGACACAACATTTCTGCAATTTTAAAGGCTCTTTGTGGTATTTTGCAGCAAATCTAAAAGTTGCAATGAAAAATAATATATTTTTTGAGTTCTCAGGATTTCAAGCTGTTAGTTGGCTTTAGCTCTGTTGCCTTACTTGCTCTTGAGTACTTTCAGCTTATGTATATTGATGTCTGTGGTGCTCAGTGTTGTCACTTTAAGAATCCTTTTATGTAGCTCTCTCAGGGCCGTGTTTATCCTAGTGCTTTCACTGCTTCTTCAAAGCAGTTTTGTGTGTGCTGAGTAGAAGAAGAGATTGTGAGAACTGCAGACTACGGTCAAATATATGTGACCTTATCCCAGAAATACATATGTGATGACAGAGTGCACACTGTCTTGTTGCTTTATGCGTTCTCCTCAAGAACAGAACAGAAAGATTTGCTTTTGTAATTCTGTGAATTAATAATTTTGAGGTTATTACTTTCCATAGGCACTGTTTGATTTTCCTGGAACCAATAAACTGGAACTCAGATTCAAGAAAGGAGATTTGATCTATCTACTCAGCAAAGTAAACAAAGACTGGTTGGAGGTAAGACTGCAATAGCAGTACTGAATTATTAGCATACCTTGAAATATATGAGTAGAAAGGGCTCTTCTGATCCTTGTGACCTGCCTCTTCCTTTCAAGGAGAAACTGTATCATAATCAGGTCTTACTGTCAAAACTAAATCCCTGATTCCAAATTAGTAATTGTTTGGTTCCTTGATGGTTTTTAGCTTACAAATTTTTTGCCCTCCAGACTTCAGTTTTCATTTGCATTTGCTTCTGCTGGAGTGTTTTTAAATTCTTTGGAAGTGATTAGAACACAGAAAGGCCACAGAAAGGAGATGGAAACTCCATTTCAGCGATTAATTGGTTTCTGGCCCCAGGGTGAGTTGATGTATGCTTCATGCTTCATACCACAACACACGTCAGCCTGATTAGAGAGAACTTGGGTAATGCAGCAGTGTTCTGAAAAAAGGATGAGGGGAACATACTGTGTGTTTGCTGATATGATATCTCTGCTTGCTCAAACACCACAGCCTTCCTTGCTAACCATCTGACTTGCATTTTTTACACACTGTTTCACTCCCCTGCCTGGTATTTGACTATGTAATTGTATAACCTTTTTGTAGGGATGCCATCAGGTCACTTCCATAGAATTTCTTTTCTTGATTATAATGGAAAAATTCTTACTGTTGTTTCTATCTAAACTAATCGAATTCCAGAACTTATTGCATGTGAACAACATGGCATGGTTTTCTTGATTCTAACATTTCCTATCATTCCAGGGAACTGCTGATGGTGCCACTGGGATTTTCCCATGTGCTTTTGTGAAGATCATAAAAGATTTACCACAGCAGGAAGACACAGTTAATAAAGTTCGCTGTTATTACTATGATGAGACTGTGAGCACCATCAGGTAGTAACAAAATAGCCTTCAAGTTTGCTGATGAAGAAACACCAACAATTCTCTTGTCATGATATGTAATGACTATATGTGTTCTAAATACAGGGATATCTCAGTGGAAGAGGATCTGAGCAGCATTCCATCATTCAAAGATTTAATGGAATTGATGAGGTACAATGCAAGCACTTGGCTGTATATTTGATGCTTAAACATTTGTCAAGTTCAATCTGGTTTGAGATTTTCCACGTTCTACTTGGTCAGCACCATGTTTTGTGTATGAAATACTTTTCAAGTGTCTTGAAGAAGTTACACTTTGACTTGGCCCAGGGTCATCTGCGCAGACACTAGTCCTTCTCGGGATTGTCAATGAGTAAGGAATGACACACACTTCTGACTCAAATGTGATAGGTAGAAATTTCCTAACCCTAACCCTAACCCATTTCTTGTACTATGGTAAGAGCCATACCCCCATAAAAGCATCTTTTGTCTAGTACATTTCTTCAGATATAGGACATGGCCTTCTAACACTTGTTAAACTAGATTAATCTGGTGTTGAACATCAATAACTTAGAACATTAAATATTAGCAAATACACCTGTTCTAATATTCTTACACTCCTCAGAAAGAGCAAAAATAAGTAGGCAAAAGTGGGTGGTAACCACAGTCAGCTCTTTTGCATGGTAGTTCTATCAAACACACAGAGTAATTGTGCCATTTATGTGGTGTTACTGGAAATGGTTCATGGTTCTGGTAGATTTCTTAGCTTAAACACAACACAGCATGAATGTGGCTATATGATTTCTAGTACTGCTGTATCAAGAAGGCCAAGATACCCAAGGTTTTGTGTGACTTTTATTAAAATTAATTAGATTGTCAGTATATTATTCATCATGTAGCACCTCCCAGGCATTCCTTGATGTCTGGGAATCAATCCATTTCTTTTCTCCCAGGCAGGAGTTTAACCAAGAAGACATTGTTTTGAATTACCGGGACCCTGAAGGTGACCTGATCCGCTTGCTCTCTGATCAGGACGTTGAACTCATGGTGTCTCAGAGCAGAAGTTATTCCTCTGAGAAGCACTTCTTCCCTTGGAAGTTGCACATCACTCACAAAGATGACTTGGGTGTCTACAACACTAGTCCAGGAGCAGGTGCTACTCAAACAGTAGGGGCTATGTAAGTGCTATATAGATATCCCTCTCTGCAGGCAGTCTCCTTCAAAATGTCTTTGAAGTGTCCTTGAAATGAGTAATTTTTAGTGATATATTACCTTTCAGTGTAAAATCTGTACTTGGTTAACTTCTTCAGCTTTTTAGCACACATCTGCAATACAGACAATCTACATAGAGACCAGAGAAAGTGAGTAATAGAGAAATAAAATCATGGGCCATGTTTACAAAGCAAGTCAGTGTCAGCCTGCAAGAGAGGTCTCCTGAGCCCTTAGCCCTGCTCTAGTTTCTGTTCTCACTCTCAAGACTAGTTTTCTGTCCAGAATGTCTTCATAAGCTTTTGTTTTTTCTCTAGACTCCCATAAATTTCTCTTCATTTGCTGATCTGAAGGTTTGTGGGCCATTGTGTAATTATATCTCTCATGTTGGAGTCTGACTGGGTTTTCAGAGTTTGTCCTAGGAGGATCAATAAAACTTTTTTGGATTTCAGTGAAGAAGTTCCAGCCCATCTTAACTTTCTTCTTTTCCACTGATCAGTATATTGAATTCTGTGAATCAAACCTAGTACACCTGTGGTTTTCCTTTTAGACCTTTATATAACTGTACAATATACTTATTTTCATGTTTAGGAAAATGTGTAGGATATCCTACTGAAACAGCAATTTCTTCTCTATCTTCTGCTTTCTGACACTGCATTCAAAGTATAACTAACAAGAAATTACTGTATCAGATTCTTCAACAAATAAAGTTAAATGTTAGTTTGTCCATTTTTATTTACAAGTGGTTTTTTTGGGTGGGGTGGGGTTCTTGACATTGTTTTATTAAAATATTACAAAATGTAACTTCCTGCTTCAGAGGTATTGTAGCAACGCAGTTTAGAAAGGAGATGAAGTAACAGCAATCATTGTGTCAGTGATATTACATGTTGTGATGCATAAGAAAATGCATTGTAAGTTTGTAGCCTAATGGCAGGTATGGACTGCAAAATTTCTGGGGTGCAGGATTCTTTGTTACTTGTTCCTGGAGTTCAACAGAGCAACTGGCACTCAGAGATTTTCAGTGACAGCTGGATCCTGTGATGCAGCCAGCAACTCAGCATGTCTGTCTCAAAATGGAGCAACATTTTCAATGAGAAGGGATAGGGAGGAAAAATGTCTGCTAGGAAACAACTGTCCTCTTTTATAAGGGTGCTGGAAGAACATAAACACACTGGCCTTTGAAAATCAGGGCAGGATGATCCCCCTTTGCCTTTAAACTGCAATGCAAAATAAATTCTTCCCATCTAGCCAAGTTACATATTCTCCTAGCTGTGTGCAGGTTTTATATGGACACCTTCTCATGCACAGTTACCCTAGATATTCTCAATTTTCTTTGTCTTACTTTGCATGTTTCCCTTATTCACATGGTAGGGGGTTTTCTTTGTTTATTTTTTGCTTGTTTATTGATGCAGTTCTGATGAGAGAATAACTGTGCTACCTGTGGTTTTGGTCAGTACCATGGGGATTGAGAGGAGGAGTAGCAGTGCAGGATAGACAGACTCTGCCAGTTATATTCTATATCTGGGAACTCATATAAGCCCCCATATAAGTTTATCTCTGAGAAAACAAACGTGTTCTCTCCCATGTCTCTCCCTTAGGGCTGCCTAACTTTCCTAAGGTTTATTTCTTATTGGAATATGAATCCCAATATTACCAGTTAGATTGTGCCTGGGCCGGTCTGACCCTCGCTGCTGAGCCAAAGGCGGCTTCTGTGATGCATCACCCCAGAGACACCTTTAGCTTGCTGATGGTTGCAGCTGGGCACTAAACAAGTCCAGGCTTGTTAGGGACTCCGTTTACCTTAAGAAGAAGGCTTCAGGTGATGGTGAGGACAAAGGAGGGATTCTGCTGGAGGGTTTAATATCCAGAGGTTTATTCCATGGTTACAGATGACTGAATCTTGGGAAGAACTCCAACAGAATGGAGAGCACATGGTCTGCTTCACTTTTTAAGCTCAGGGGGAGGGGAGGGGACAGGTGAGCCACCAACCAGGTGGGAGGGGCGGGGTCTCAAGGGACGAGGGACACCTAGACAGGCCAATGACCTCTGGGCCTGAGGGGCATCCTTTGAATTTGACCAACCGCACGACGCCTTTCCTGGAATGTTAAGCCTGATTGACAGGACTCACTCAGCATGGGGGCAAGGGGGAAGGGAGAGGCGTATAGGAACACCTGGGAAGGGACCCGGGACCCGGGACCCGGAAGTCTAAAACAGGACATTACAACACACTACAACAATTTCTGAAGGCTACTGGGCTGTTTTATGGTTGGATTAAAAGATCAGGCTGCCTTGGATGTAGGATAACTTCAGATCAACTACTCTCACCAGTTTTCTTTTGTTTTCTTTATGTACTACAGTACTTATAATTTTATTATTATTTATTATTAATTGTTGTTGAAATGGGTAAAACTTAGAAATATTATTAAAGAGTTACAGAGATAAAGGTAGTTCACTCTCCCCCAATACAGATGTCCAGAGAGATCTCTGCCATGAAGATTGTCTAGTCTAGAGCAAAGTAAGAAACAGCACTGGAGTGAAAAACATAAAATTCTTTCTTCATCTCTCTTACATCTGCTGCAGTCAGTCCTGTATCTTTCTTAAAATACATAAGTCTCATGATCTGGTAATTACTAACACATAGATTGGCAATGACAAACTTCCTTTCCCTCCCTTCCCAGTTAACCCAACAGTCCCATCTAAGTGCGTGCTTTGGGGGCTAAAATAGGAAGTACAGACTTCCTATTTTGTGCAATTGCACTGACTTTCCTTGAAAGGGGGGTGTCAGCTTCTCTGAAAGTGGCATTTGAGGTTCACAAAAGATGTAGTAGTTATTTTGAAGACTTACTTGCCAAGAAAATCCTGTGGTTGGTTTATACTTCTGTCTCCAGTTCTAGGCAAGTGCGGATTTGCTGATATCTGCATCAGAGGATTCTGGTGCTGGGGTTGGTGCTGGACAGGGAGAGTTCCCCATCAGGTTGAATCATCTGCCTCTCAGACACCCCTGGATTCAGGTAAGGGAATGGCTTCCTTTCTGGGGGAAGCATAATGGTAGAGGCTGCTCTCATACAAGGACCTGTGAGTTACTGGGGGATTCCTTAGCTGCAATGATTATTCAACAGCTCAGCCAGCTGCTTCCAGTCCAAGGAGGTGGCTTGTGGGAATCTGAAAGTCAATAGGAATTGAAAAGTAGTTTTTCCATGCTCCCCTAAAGTAGAAAAAGTCTCAGATCTGTAACATACTTAAGTAGGTGTGTGTATTATGATTTTGAGAGAGTGATGAGAGATGGCCCGAATTACTTCAATTCCAGTATTGGTCCTGGAACTGCTCAATCTACTTTTAGTCTCTACAATCACTAGGAAAAATATTAAATTAATTTCTTTGGTAGTTTGTCTACAATTTGCAACTTGTTTGGGGGGCACTGAGAAAAGTTCAAGGAAATTCTCAAAGTGAACGAATATGGAAATCCATCCACTATAGCTCCTAGGAACTGTTTCATTGAGATCATATTTTTAAGGAAATTAGCCACTGTTGTGGTTCATTAGGAAGGCTTTAAGCATAAAGAGCAGAAGAATGAAATTAATTTTAAGGATGAGTTCTCATAACAAATCAGGATTTTTGTCTTGTTGCTGCTCAGCTGACCAAATCCCTGCACTTCCTTGGAAATGTACATTTACTTCATTCTCTGCTTGCATTGCAACAACACACAGTGAGAACGTGAATTTTGTCCTACAAGAAATGCCTGGTAGAAGTTCTTCCTGAATGTCACTTCAACATGATCTTAAAGAAGTTCCCTTATTCAGTTTTACTTCTCTTTATGTGAAACAGAAACAAACAGTTCCACAGTAAGCAGGGCAAGAGAGTGGCCAGTGGGCAATGAAAACTCTGAAATTCTGAGTTAGGATCAAACCTGTGTGCCAAGGACAATATGGACATAAAAGAGATTTTCATCCTGCTGCTGTATCTGTATTTGGTCTTCCATGTTCAAGCCATTCAAGGTGAGATTCAAATTTATATTCTCCTTCATCCTTCCATTATTGCCTTTCTTTTAAAATGTCTCCTTCTTTCAGCTAATGCTCTTCCTCCTTTTCTGCTTTCTTCTCCTGTTTTCTAAGCTGTGAGAGAGCAGACATCTTGATCAAAGCCAGCATGTAGCAGGTGCACGTGCAGCCAAATCAGTTGTATGTTGGTGGTATGGACAGTTGAAATACTATTTAAATGGATGAGATGAACAAGCTGATTGGATAATAAGTGAATGGAAGGAGGGATAGACCCTAATAATTAGTGAAAACATAGGAAAATGAAGGACTGCAAATGAATGCATAATTCAGATGGTGCACAGGAGCAGAGACATGTGGCCAGACACAAGACAGTGTGGTGGGGGCTACCAAGAGCAAAATCCAGATGACCTGATTTTCTTCTTCTGGAATAGCTGACAGATAAAGAGACCATCTGCCATATCCATTGCTTGTGTTTCCTTTCTTACACAATGAGAACTTATCTCTTCTCTTCTCTTCTCTTCTCTTCTCTTCTCTTCTCTTCTCTTCTCTTCTCTTCTCTTCTCTTCTCTTCTCTTCTTTCTCTTCTCTTCTCTTCTCTCTCCTCTTTTTTCTCTTCTCTTTCTCTTTTCCGTTTTCTGTTTTCTTTTTTTTATCTTCTCTCTTCTATTTTTTCTCTTTCTCTTCTCTTTCTTCTCTTCCTCTTCTCTTTCTTCTCCTTCTCTTCTCCTTCTCTTCTCTTCTCTTCTCTTCTCTTCTCTTCTCTTCTCTTCTCTTCTCTTCTCTTCTCTTCTCTTCTCTTCTCTTCTCTNCTTCTCTTCTCTTCTCTTCTCTTCTCTTCTCTTCTCTTCTCTTCTCTTCTCTTCTCTTCTCTTCTCTTCTCTTCTCTTCTCTTCTCTTTTTTTTCCTTTTTCCTCCCACACTCTGTCCTCTCCTGCCTCCAAATTTGATTTTACAGAGCTGGGAATAGGAAGTACACCATACCTGCCACAAGACTAGGCCTATAGCCATCCTAGAGACAGCAGAAAAAGAGTGTTACCAGGAGTTGTGCTCCATGGAAATCTACCTTTTCTAATGCAGATGCTCATGTCTGCAGTAGCTGGAGGAATTGTGCTGCCTGGCCCAGCATTAATTACAGCTATCTTCCTTTGAGGTCTGAAGTGTATGTCAGACTGGGTTCTTGGCATTCAGAGTCTTACCCCCACATTGACACTTCCACATCCTTTTCTATGTGGGATGCTCCATTTTCTGGTTGCACAAGGAAAGCAGTAGAACTTTGTACTGGTTTTCAGTAGAAGATCAAAGTAAGGTCCCTCTTATGGTTCCTAAGAGCATTCTGTTCTGATGGGGTTTTGCCTGTAAAAAGCCCCTCAAACAAGCTGATTATAGCTCTCATCGAGAAATATTATTTGAGAGAGCACACTCATGTATGCACCTTTGTCACCTGAAGGTGCAATAGCCCAATAGTGCAGTATGGATATTGTCTTCAGGGAAAATAAGGAAGGATAAGAAAGCAGCTTGCTTCATAGTACCTGTGACAGAGGCAGTCTGTATTTTTCTGCTTCACAGTTATGAACTTAAAAAAAATATCCTTGATGAGAGGTCTGGCCATCTCTGGATCATAAATCTAGTTCCAACAAATTTGTTTGGACATTCTTGTGAGTCATAGCAAGGTTATTCCCAGAGCATCTCACCTTTAAATAGACATTTCTAGCATTACGAACTTTACTGG